CGTATCTAACATATTTATCACAAGTCATTCAACTGAATCAAGCTGCCATCTTGAATCGTTGGGAAATTAGGGGATCGCTGACAACAACCGCAAAGATACAAATGTATCTGACGCTCGTGCGAGCGGCTGCAATCCAATGAATACGATGGCTACGTTCCAGAAGCCGTATCAAAATCTGTTTCATTATGCATTTGATATAGCCCAAATCCGGGGGTAGTTTCGATATGAAAACAAACACTGAAGAAAAAGTATAAATTACCTGAAATATATGTTTATTAGATCACTTTATAAATATTTAAATATTCCTCTTACTTAAGATCACATTTTTCTGGTATTAGCTTAATGTAAATGCCTCTCTTTTTTGGCTATATCTGGGGAGCTTTCTTATCTTCTCTTTTTAATGTAAATGCGTGATATTTAGTATGATTTTTCTTTTGGTGTATGAAAAACCATGGTGACCTAGGCCAACGCGTGCTGGCGGTAAGGGGAGAGTCGGATCTGATCGGATCGTTGAAGCGTTTTATGATTGCAAATGTCGTTTTTATTAACTAACTGGCTTTGCTCGCTGACAGCCGGGGTAAGTGGCGGCCTTAAGGGTGCTAAGCGTTTCTGGTTTCGTTTTTGTTTGCCGTTTATTATGTAATTTGATTAGACGTTAAGTGTTTAAGTGTTTTTCCCTTTACTTTTTGATATATTTTCTTTTTGGGGTGGCACTGTCAACATTTCCCCCAGGTTTACAATTCACAATCACAAGCCCAAGACAGGCCCCTCAAACTGGCCACAATATTGAGCACAATAAGGAGTCGAGGGTCCTGATTAATAGCATTGTCCTTCGGCCTTGACCACAGCTAAAAAAGAAACCTATAAACCTCCATTTAAACGGCGGGTTTGGTCTCTTCTCTATCTTTTTAAGAGACATTTCGCCTTACCTGTATCCCAGCAAGGATCACGATCACTCTTCTCGTTGGACAAAGGACGAAACAAAAGTGCAGATCACTGCAAGTGCGGATCGTGTGTGGGTCCTTTGTCCGGTGTCCTTTGTCCATTTGTCCAAGGCACTGACTTTTCATTCATGAAAATATTCGTGTATTATTTTCAGAAAAAAAAGAATGAAAAAGTTTCCCTTTGTTTTGGTTAACATTTATTTTTTGGCATTTGGCGGTGCCGCACTTTGATATTTGTTTTCTATAGTTTAGAATATAGAAAACATATAGGAATATATTCCACAAAGAAGGTACATTTCTCTAGGAGATGTGTCACACAGTTTTCATATTTCTTGTATTTATTATTAGTTTGTTCTATTTTAAGGCGGTAAAACAATAATCAAAACGGTTTTTTATATTGGCAAAATCCTTGATAAAAGTTCAAATTAAAAAGAAAACCTTTGGTGAGACCTTTTTTATACCTTTGGAGGGTATTATAATTTCAGTCAAAAGCTTATATCGATGTGAAAGAGTCATTTCCGACCCTATAAACCATAAATATTCTTGATCAGCATCAACTGTCGAGTCTATCTAGACATGTTTGGTCAAAAAATAAATTTTGTTCAAAATTTTCAAAATTTTATAAGGGGTTACATCTTTAAATATTTTTAAAATTTGGAAAAAATTTGGATTTTTTTAAATTTTAAATTGAGTATGCAGATTTATTAACCTTTTAAAAAGTAATACAAAACCGTTTTCCGAATTCAAATTAAATGATTTTTGGCTTAGTTATGATGTTTGAAAAACTTTGATTAGCCCAAAAAATTAGCAAATAAAAATATTCAATAAATATACCTCAAGTACAGATATTTTAGATTTTTTTGTAAGGTATACTTAAAGAATTAATGAAACTGTATATCTTCTTCTTGATATTATTTGAATCTATATTATTTGACTCTATATTAAGTTAAACTCTTACAACTTTCCAAAAAATCTTCAAATGTAATAACAAATTAAATAACCAATTAACGGTCATTAAAATGCAGACCTAAAACCAACCTAACTGAAGTATCCTTAAGCAGGACCTGAGGCCTATTGACTCAGTAACACGCAAAGCAGTCAGACTCAACCTCAAAGCTCATTCGTAAATTATTCAGGGGTAAATATAAAACATTTCGTTTGGCATATGAAACGGCTTCAGCTATAATGAAGTCATATTTGTTAAATCAACAAATAAATGTATGTACAAAGCCGAATAAAGAGACCGAGTGGAATAAACAAACCCCCGCCAAAAGTAGCAACAATGGCAACTACAACAATCCGTCAAGATGCAAATGTCACAACCAATTAATGTCAATAAATGATTAACCCGGGACATAGGGGTATTTTTTTCTATATCCGAAATCCCTATAAATGGTGGTTGTTCGTACCGAGACACCCCTTTTGATGGGCAAATCCGGTTTGAAGTTTTCTTTTCTCATCTCAGTTAGTTTTGCGTTGTATCCATATCAAAAAATAAGTAAGGGGAAGTGAATAATTCGTCATGCTTTCATTTGTTCAATGTTTAAGCGAGTTTTGTTCACAATTAAAATGAAATTGTGCGCTTGAATGAGTTCCGATGCTATCTAAGAGATACAAAATATCTGTTTTGAATAAATTTTCATATTCAGAAATCCGTAACAATTGTTATTTCAAAGACATAGCCTAAGTCAATAGCACGATCTAAAAATTCGGTAAAAGGACTTTGCCTTGGCTCAAATCGAGCATGAAATAATTGCAGACAAAAAACGGAAGTGGTCAATGGAGGAAAAATCTCAAGTGGCCAAAACAATTGGTAAAAGGCGGTCAAAAGGATCTCTCGCACGAGACCAACGCAACGCCCAAAAGAGCTGAAATTCCAGCAAAAAACAGACAGCTGCTTCCAATTTCGATATATTGACCATTATCAATCCATTGATCCTTTTTGCAATCCCATTTCTGCACGGCCCGCCAATTAAGCAGAAGCCAAAATGAAAAACTATATACAACCTTAAAAAGTAGGCGAACACTCAAAGGATCGCCTACGTAGAAGCCAAAGAGAGGTCAACAATTAATGTCAGTAATTGTGATCCGTTTTATAGCCACTTAACATATGATCAACTGCCAGGACAGGCGACAAAGCCGCACCTATGGACAAAAGGACATGAAAAGGACAATTATAGGTAAATCCTTAAAGTCAGTTAACAAATGATAAAACTGCCGCCATAATTCTGTGTAATGTAGCCCAAAAATACACACACTCGGCGACACTCTGTCTGGCTCAGAGAGTCCTCTAATACCTGGCACATCAATGTATCTACCAACAATGGCACAACGTGCGTCGTGTCTGAGATTTGTCAAAAGGAACACAACTGCATCCATGAATGGACTGCATCTGAATGGATGATCCTTGCGGCATTGTTTCCCGAAGTTGCACAAGCAGCAGCAGCAGCAGAATGCATCAATAAAATTACGCCAGGACTCAAAGGAGACAAGATATATGTATACAATGTGAGAGGATCGCAAGGAGTTGGAGTTATAGATTGGATTTGAAGGAATAGAGGTAGCAAACGACCACTTGGGCCATAAGTTGCCATGAAATTGGCATTAAACGCTTCGAGGGCTTGCAGTTTTTCAATGGTTGTAAAATTTAATCGATTCGATTGTGGAGGGTCATTGAAGAGGTTTTCTCTTTCCCTTATTTATTTATTTCATTTTATCTCTCTAAAAAAGGACACATGCCGTAGGGTATTCTTAAAAGGGAATAACTAAAACTAAGGAAAGAATTAGAGAATATTTTAGAAACGAAATATTGAATGAAAATTACACATAATTTTTGAAAGTGAATTTAGAAAATGCATTACATTTTGGGTATTTATTGTATATTTAATACAATAGATTTCCCTAACTCCTTTATAATATATGTAAATTAACAGAAGTTGAGTTAAAGATTTGCAAGCTTAACACACAGAAGATTTTAGTAAAAAGAGGTCCATGGGATTGATTTTTCATATATTATTTCGAAACATATATTTACGTACTGAAAATTTGGTCTTTTGGTCAAAATGACGAAATATATACACATTTTTCGAGTTATCTTGACTTAAATGTTTTTAAAATTATTTAATACATATTTATAACATAAATCCATCGATTTATTAAATTTTTAAATTATAACTTAATTTTAATAAACATTTCCTTACACATAAATTGGTCATGAACCATTATATAAACCTTATTCCTTAAATAAACCACACCTTTTTGAATTCTAAACACTTATGAACAAATATTTTAATTTCTGCCTCTCCATAAATTTTGTATAAATTCTTATAAAATAAAAGGAGCTTGCTATGTTCTTGTTTTTAATAAATATGCGAATAAAAACTCTGGTGTTAAGTCTTTAACATTGAAAAATAAAATATTTTAAATATATAATTGCAATTACCCCTGGCTACATATTTATCTTATGTTTTCCAGGCTTTTACAGTGAACTTTAATTTAAATCTTCTTTTAAAAATGTAATATATTTAAATGAAATAATTCTTCAATCTCGGAAATCTCTTGAAAGTAATTTGATCTAGCTTAGGCCGAACTAATGTGGTTTCATTTAAAAAGCTTTTACGCATTCGCCTCAACTTTCAATTAAACTCGAGTGATAATTCGAAATGAAAAAAGAAGGATTCGTTCTGCCAGGACACACTCGCACACACACACACTCGCACACCCTCTCAACCGCCATTGTTCCACACACACAAACACACAAGCTAAGATATGAATACAGTGAGGCATCGTTTACCTGCCATTGTTCAAGTGATCGAACGTGGAATAAGGGCGGAGCGTAAATGGCAACAGTTGCCGCTAAATAATGACCAAATGGCCGAAGCGACTCGAGTCAAACAACCCTCGAATTGGTCCTTAGGGGTGGGTGAACCCAGGACCAACCCTCAGACAGGGTTCTTGAGGTATATAAGAGCAGGGCGCGGGCCCAGCAGCCAGACAGTCTCGCACAGTCAGCGATCGTGTTCACAACTAGCTCTCGAAGTAGATCTCTAACCGAAAACAAAACCCACCAAGATGTCACGTTCTTTTCTCATGGATTCCCTGCTCAGCGATCGGCCAAATTTGAAGAAGGAAACGAGTGGAAGTCCCACTGCCTCGGCTTCCGCTTCCGCTTCCGCCGCCGCTGCTGTGGCCGCGGCAGCCATGTTGCCTTCGATTCCAATGCTTCCGTATCCGGCCAGCTATGTGGGCAGCTATCTCTTCTCCCTGGGCATCCAGCAGCAGCAGCAACAGGCCGCCGCAGCAGCTGCTCTCCAGCATCAGCAGACGCTACACTCCAGTGCCAGTTCCAGTTCCAGTCCCACATCGTTATATCACCCATACGCCCAGTTGTTTGCTCCAAAACGCAAATCCAGTGGTTTTGGCAACTATGAGAGTTGTTATCCTTCGCCACCGCTGTCTGCCAATCCCAATAGCCAGGCTCAGCAGCTGCCTCTACATGGACTCTATGGAACTCCAGGTGTACATGGTTTACCTTTGCCCGAACCCAACAGCTTCTGCACTTCACCTTCGGCCTCGTCATCCGCCTCTCAGGATTATGCCAATAATTATGATGAACCGCAGGGAAAGCGCTTCAAGCATGAGTCCTCCTGCTCACCGAATAGTTCGCCATTAAAGGTGCCTTCATCAGCAGCTAGCCAGGATATAACACCTTTGATTAGCGACTATGCAGATTCCAGCAAAAGGATCCGCACGGCCTTTACCAGCACTCAACTTCTGGAATTGGAGCGTGAATTCTCGCACAATGCCTACTTGTCCCGTCTGCGACGCATTGAGATTGCCAATCGCCTGAGACTCTCCGAGAAGCAGGTGAAGATCTGGTTCCAGAATCGTCGTGTCAAGCAGAAGAAAGGCGGCTCTGAGAGTCCCACATTTAATTTGTCCACCAATTCGGGAAGTGGAAGTCCTCAGACATCGCCGGTAGCCAAGGTTCAAGAACTGAAAGTGGAGGCTTAGGAAAAAGTTATGAAGAAGTTGGAGAAGCAAACAATTGTACAGTAGAACTTAGACTGTTGTTAGTTTTAATTATGTTTAAGTGAAATAAATTTAAATTTAAAATATAACAAAATGTGATTTATTAATAGATATAATTAGCATAACTTAATGGCTACTCTAGCAGATTTTTTTACTAAATTAGTAAGCAATCCCAGCAAGCCTCGTCACCGCTGTCATTTCCTGTCACTTTACAAAATTTCAAAGGCTAAAAAATTTAGTCCTCATCGAACCTTTCACCATGGCAAGTCTCTACAACGAATTGAAAACCGAGTGGAGCAAACATGATCCAAATTTGGCTCATTGTGCCAACTTGCTGGATGGCTTCAAGCTGGAACTGGTGCGCTCCGACTTTGGCTCACCGCAGGCTTCATCGAGTTCCAGGCAGAAGGAGCAATTGATTCGTTCCCGGGAGATGTTGGAGATTGCCGTGGAGCATAGCATTGCCACCAAGGATTATGCTGCCTTTGAGCGTTACATGGCCCAGTTGAATACCTATTATTTTGACTATGACAAGGTCCTGGTGTCATCGGTGCATATGCACAAGTTTATGGGTCTAAATCTACTCTATATGCTGGCCACCAATCGGATTGCTGACTTTCACATTGAACTCGAACGTCTGCCATTGCCTTTGCTGACCAATAATAATTTCATCAAACCGGTATTGAATCTTGAAAACTACTTCATGGAGGGCAGATACAACAAGATTTTGCAGGCCAAGAAATCGCTGCCGGCGGAGATCTACGCGAATTTCATGGATATGCTGGTGGATACGGCCCGCGATGAGATTGCCTCGTGCGTGGAGAAATCCTATGAGAAGATGACTCCCAAGTTGGCCGCCCAGCGTCTAGGATTTCGTCCTGGCAGCAAGGAGCTCTTGGATTTGGTCGAGCGTCGTCAATGGAAGATGGATGGTGAGGGAAACTACGACTTTGCTGGCCTCAATGCCAGGCGTGTGGAGAAGGTCTCGGCCAAGGATATAGCCAGTAATAATCTGTCCTATGCCCAGGAACTGGAGAAAATCGTTTAAGGAGCGGGAAATATATATATATAAGTCCCTCCCCCTCTGATAATTGTTATCTTTAATCCACTCAAGCAGAAAATAATGTCGGAAAAATTTACACATTCAACGGCAGAAAAATCAGTAAAGCGGCAACCGGAAATTTGTCAGATTTAATTTTTCACACATCTCAGCAACTTGGTTTCGTTCGTTTTATTTTATTTTGAGTTGAGTTTCTCTTTTTTTGGCATAAAATGTGCAAAAATTGAGTTGCTCGAGGGGCCCTGATAAGTCGACAGGCCTGACAAATTGTCGGTTCAGAAAAATCTCGTTTGCAAATCTGTCATAGGATAATTGTTAGACTTTGGGTTTTAGTGGACTGATGATGATATAGGATGGCTGTTATGCAGATGGGTTTCATAGGAAAGCAGTTAGGAGGGGCAGCAGGAGATCGTTGTGGAATATATTAATTATTCAGAGAATAGGATTTCTTGGTTTGTTTTTAAGGCCATATTTTGTATAGGAAATATATACAGTTTTGGCCTTAAATTTATTAAATAAGTAAGTAATTAGGTAGCTTATGAGGAGTTCTTGTATTTAAAATTGTTTAAAGACGAGTTCAAGTGGACTTAAGGTTATTTTTATGGAAATGTTTAATGTTTAAAATATATATAGTTTATAAAGCTAAGTATAATTTGTGATGTAATATTTTTATGATTGATTGTATAGTAATGTATTATTATTATTATTATTTTTAAAAGCTTTGTTAGAGCCTTTTTTAGGATTCTTCCATCACAAATTAGAATCCTTTACTTCAATTACTGAATTAGTTGCACAAGAACTCTAATTACAATGATCTTACAAAAAAAATGTCTTAAAGTATTATTTTATGAATGAGTCAATTCATTTAAGTTAATATCATTTCGAACTAACTTTTGTATAAATAGTCACGAATATATTTTAGGAAAGAGCGTAGATGCATGTTTATTATTTTAAGTTAAGTCCGAAGCTTGTAACTATATGAAAGAGTCATTTCCGACCCTATAAATAATATATATTCTTGATCAGCATCAAAAGAACAAATTTTCGGAATTTTTTCAAAATGTTAAAACGGTTAAAATTTTCAAATTTTTGCAAAAATTTTAATATTTTTACAATTTAAATTCAGTATGCAGATTTATTAATTTGATAAAAACTTACACAGGACAGTTTTTCGATTTAAAATTAAAGCATTTTTAACTTAGTTATGAGTTTTTAAAACTTTGATATTGTCAAAAAATATTGATATTTAGAATGCGAATATTTTAAGCTGAGTTATGATATATTTCTAATATATAAACTAAGGCTTCCAAGAAGTTAGTTTGCTTTCTTGTTCTAACAAAATTTTATATTATAAACTGTTTAAATCGTCTTTACATATATTATAAGAAGCTTCTTTAAATTGTTCTTTTAATATTTTATAGATAAACTTTTTAAGTTGACTTTAAGATCTTCCTTCAAATATTTCTTATGATATTTTCATGACAAATTATTTGATACCTTCAATACCGTTACCCAATTAGTTCCACAAGGACTCAAAGATACCCTGTGTGGTCTGTCACCGATATTCAACCGCAAAGCGACATTTCTGCTGCATCATTCGAAATTATAATTAATCAAGGACATTAGGGGGACTTTTGGTAAACCTTCTGGAGTGAGATAGTTTTTTAGCATTTCCCACGACACTTCAAATTGCACAAATTAATGATGTCAGACTGATGGTAAACCGATGCTTATCATCTTAGATATAGACAGCGATTTGTCTAAAATCGAAGTTGGGTGACAAACCCGAAACAAATCAGGCGCAGCAAAAAAAGAAAACCTGCCCGAGCCGACTCATTCAGCATTCATTTTCAATGACGGACAATTCCTCAATGGAATCCTCGATGGAATCTCTTGGATATAGTACTTGGATCCGTAGTAACACAACCATTGTATTGTATGTTTTCGATCCCAAGGGGTGCGGGTGCGGGTGCGGTGCTAATAAACGCAATTGCACCTACGCCCCTCCTGGGCCTTCGGTCCGAAAATTGAAATCGGAATGCGAATGGCCAAAATAGCCCAGTCGGCGGTTTTAAACGGAATTTCGAAAGACAATATATATACCCTTGGCTCTATTCTTGAAATTTTGTTTGGGATTCTCTCTCTCTGTGTCCTTACCTGATTTCGATCCTGATCGTTATCCTCGGTGTCTTGGTTCAAGTGTGCGCCTCCTCCACTTGAGCTGAAGAGCTCGTCCTCTTCAGTCTCAAGTGTCTGCATCAGCAGGTAAGATCTCTCAGTAGGACTCTTGACTCCTTTTCAAGGATCTCCGCTGTTTGCCAATTCATTCAAGGAGCGTAGCAAAAATGTTGTGCCAAAAATGTGTGTTGCGTAGGCTGTTGTCTGTGATTTGATTTTCAGAAAATTAATGATAACATTTAGAGTTAGTCGAGTGAATATTGCTGGGAAAGTATCATGGGAACCTAAAAGTGAGTAAAATCAATGAAAATTAAAGGATTTTGAAATCTAAAGGCATCTAGAAATGGGATAATAGGGTTTAGTTCGAGATTTATTAGATAGTTTAACGATATTACTTATGCTCTGAAATTTATGTTGAAACTATATATTTTTTATGTTAAAGTACTATTTGTATTGCTATCATGTGAATAATAGTAAGAGTTAATATTTTAGCTCATATCAATTTTAATCAATTTTAACCTATATTTATATTTAATATTGATTAAAAGTAGTATAAGAAATAGGCCTTAAACTAGTTCCTTAAATTCACATAATTTGATTTGAACAAACCCAGATTTTAAAAAGAATTTTAGACCTTTATCAAATCTCAAAACATTACTAAGATTTACTTTTACTTTTACTATAAATTTATTAATTATCTCAACTCATTCAAATTCAATTTAAAAATTTAAAAATATTATATATGATATATGATATTATATATGATATAATATATGATTTATATAATTCATTTAATAATAATTTAAATTAACTAAACTCAAATCGGATGAAAATCTTACAATATTAAGTTCTTATTTAAAGCCTAACTTTTAACCCTTAAAAACACCATAAAATATCTTAGCAGATATCTTTCTTTTCCTTAAAAATATCTTAAAATTTTCGTATACTTATCCTCAAACAAATTTGCATATACCTCTTCTCCCGAGGGTTCCTCTAGTTCTCTAGTTCCTTTGGCCAGATGTCCTGTCCAACCTGTAACTGCCCCCTGCTAATTTAGAGAAACTTCTCGCTGAGTTTGATCTCCCGCCTCGCAGACACTTCATGAATGAATACAGCCTCAAGTGCAGAACCTCTTCAGTTTAAAGTGGAATCTATTTTTCTACTCAATTGCTTTCATGAATGAATACGCGGCACTGCCTGCCTCAAGGCTGGGAAATTCCCTTAAGGTCCTTTGGGCCTGTTAAAAGATCATTAGGCCCAAAACGCTTCTGGCTGGAACAAATGCAATTCCGTTGAAAATAGTCCGCCTTACCTGAATGACGGGAGAAATGGAGAGAGAAATTTGTCAGGTGTTCTCTGTCCTTTCTAGACAGTCTAGACAGTCTAGACAGTGTGTCGCCAGGAGAAGAGGGTTTCCTTAAATTCCCTGTGGTGCAACGGTTGTGGTCTCAAGTGTTTAATTTGAATATTTTTTAGGTTTTTAACCATGAGAGAATTTGTAAAGATTAGGGATAGTGATTTAATTTAATAGAATATCGAATACATCACTGATGTATTTTCTTAGATTTTTAAAAGGTTTTAATTTGATTTGTTTATAGAAATACTGAAATTTTGTTTTCTCTTTCGAAAGGGTTAATTTTGTACATTAAATCAAAACTACCGATAAAAAATTCGATATTTTTATAGTTCCGATACAATTGATAAAAATAAAATCGATATTTTCAATACTTTTCATGTTTAATATCCTTAAAAAATTCTTTTAAATTAACATCCCATTTCTCAACCCTAGAAAATACTAAAAAGCTCGCTACACTTGACCTCCTGATTTTTTAGTACCTCCCCCAACAAGCTTTCAACCAAAGGAAAGCTAAACACTAAGCTTTCAGGACATCTGTTCTTGTGGGACTTCCCCCCAAAAGCTTTGTAAGCTCTTGGAGCCACCTTTCACCTCAATTTCAGGGTTAAACTTTCGTTATTTCGGGGCCACTGGGTTGGGGCAGGCATGGGGCAATAAAACAACTGCAGACTGAGGTAAATCTAAGCTCGCCGTCTCGAAATCCTTTAAGCTTATGCAAATAAAAGCGTGCACACAAAATAAATAAATTAACTGTGTATGCTTATGTGTGTGTTTGTATGTGGTCTGTGAGGGGGCTTTTCTGTTGGTCAAGCAAAGGTAAACATGGCCAAAATGAGTTTTCACTTCTTCGTTGTTGTTGTTTCTTCTGTTTTTAATAATTACTTTCACCTAGATTAAACACATATATTTATGGCAATTCATCCGTAGAATCCTTCGAATGTTCATGGGTCACGCAATCGGGGATTTTGACCATATACATATGTGTTGACCATATGCGAAAGCAGCTAATTGACCCATTAAAGCGGACTCCAAAAAAATGTTGCTCCTTGGAGTGTTTTTTTTTAGGTCACAGGATGTGTGAAGCCATAAAGTTGTTCGTCCTTAGACCAGCTCTTTTTGATTATTTTCTGGGTTTTCTTTAGATAACATCTAGAATAATTTAAGATAATGAAATCTCAGGAAATTAAAATGGTTTCTATTAAAAAATAATTATTATTTTAAATATGGTAAGCCATGTAAATTATAATACATAAAAAGTACCAACGAAAGGACTCTAAATTCTAACTAACTAACTTTGCTAACATTAAAGTTTCCCCCATTGTTTCTTAGTAACTAAACGCATTCATTGCCTTGGAAGAATTCCAGTTTCCAATAATTATGCCTTCATAAAAGATTTCAATTTACTGAGCATCCCGCAGAGGATTGGGATATATTCCACCTACCTTCATTATCGGGTTTTGCACCCCTCGAAGGATACGTAAGGATGACGATGGCGATGGAGGAGTCAGCACGTCATCGTCCTTGGGCACTCTGTGCATTGTATTTAATGAACTTGGTCTCATCATCATCATCATCATCATCATCCGCACGTTGACTTGATACGGAATATGGCCAAG